AGCCCAAAATACAGCAACAGTCCAAAATAGTTCGACGCGAAGCGCAGGAGCCTACGGGGGCCAACCGAATCGATGAAACTCTCGAGGCCCCAATGCAAAGCGCACGAGTGGAAGCAACAAGCATGGCCACCTCATGGTCGGGCTGAACTGCCCCCCAAGCCTGCGCGCGAATACGGTTTCCTGTGCAAATATGAAAGATGCGAACCGAGCGCGCCATGTCACGACGCACCGCCAAGGGTGGCACGATAGTTGTTTTTGCGCCGACGCGAAAACAACGACGGCGACGACAACCACGATGAAGGAAACGACGACGACAACAATAACTTGGGCGCCCGAGTTATCCGGGGTAACTCGGGTTAACTCGGGTTTGGATTCCCGTAAGACGAACCCGAGTTAGCCCTGACCCGAGTTATCCCTGATGATTTGGGGCCCTGGGCGCCCGAACTACCCGGGGTAACTCGGGTCCGGGGTAACTCGGGTTCGGAATCTCGAAAAACGACCCCGAGTTAGCCCTGACCCGAGTTACCCCTGATGATTCGGGGCTCTGAATAACCACGACAACTACAACGACAACGACAACGACAACGACCACTTCTGGACAAACCGCCCGCGCGCACCACGACCGCGCGGGCGCCGCCACTTTTGCGGGGGCCCCGCGCCACGCGCCGCCAGCGCCCCGAGCACGCGACACTCCCCCCCACAGGAGAACGACGGCGACGACGACAATTTCAAGGCACCCTGCCAGCAGGGTGCCTTGGGCGCAGGCAGCTGGCAGCTGCCTGCGCGAGCTATGGCAGCTGCCTGGCTGCCAGGCAGCTGCCTGCCATAGCCGCAGCTGCCTGGCAGCTGCGGCTATGGCGCGCGCAGGCAGCTGCCTGCGCGCGCCATAGCCGCGCGAGCGCCGGCGCGCGCGGGGGCGCAGGACAACGCGCCACAACGCCAGGCAAGGACACCCAATCCCCACCTGCGCGGGCACGAAGTGGAAGAGGAGGACGTCGACGACCGAGGGCCGCCCGCGCGCGCGAAGACACGACTGCCCCGGCATAGCCCGAATCGCCCTGGAGCCCCAAACGCCCACGCTTTGGGGGGTCACGGTCGGAAGAGCGACGGGCACCAGCACTTGGGGATCGGCCGGGGGCGGATAAGCAGGGGAACGCGAAAGCGGACAGGAAGGCAAGAGGAAACGGCACGGAGAAAAAAACAAAACTCGCGGAAATAAGGCGCCAAAGAGGCGCAGATGGGCGCGGAACAGACATGCGAGCAGAGGGCGAACCCGATGGAAGAAGGCGCGACGAGGATTGCAAAGGAATCGCATGAGGACTCGGAAGGGGGGAAGCGGGGGGGCGGGCGCGCGAGGAGGGGCGACGGAGGGGGGGGGCGCGGAGCACACGACGAGGACAAGGGAGAGGGCGACGACGAACGCGAGGGAGCGGAGCGCGACTGGGACAATGCAGAACAAAAGCACATAAAAGCGACAGCCGGCGGGCCACCTGGAAACGGAAAAAGGGAGGGGGGGAGGGCCACGAGTCCCCCATCGGCATCCACGCTCGGAGCCGCGCAGCCACGGGACCCCCCGCAGAAGCCCGTTGGTTTTCGCGCTCGGACTTGGGCGCCGCGGGGGAAGCTCCCCAGAGGCTAATCGGAAGGCCTTGATAGGCTCCTACAGAGGCCCCCGATGCCACCCAAGAGGCTCCGCAGAGGCTAATGAGGGGACCCTGGAAAGCTCGCAGAGCAGTCCTGGGGCTGTCTGCATGAGGCCCACTTCCTGACAAGGAGCTCTGACAGCTTGTGAAATCATCATGAGAGGCTCCTGAGAAGCTCCCAGGAAGCTTTCGAAACGCTTCTGCAAAGACTGTTGGGGACAGCCTCGAGCGCACCTCACGCAGCCAAGCGCCACCTCCGAATCCTGCCTGCGGCCGTGTACCTGCACCGCACATTGACCGCTGACGCCCCGAATGGGGCCCCGAATCGCGCCGAGCGAGGGCGCCGAATCCTGCCCGTCGACGCCCCGAACGGCGCCCCGCACTGCTAACAACAACACAGAAGATAATTCACCGAACGTTCGCTCTGGATCTGGCGACGCGAAACTGCCATCTTTCGGCGCATCCTTCGGCATCTCGGGGGGCGGGGGGGGGCGAGCCCGGCGATCGCGGACGGCGCGCACCTGGGGCCCCGCGGGCCCCGGGCCCAGGCGCCTGGACAAAATGGCGCAGAACTCCCTCGATTCTGGGGCCAAGGCCCACGGACTCCGCGCTTCCCAGGCCCCGCATGGAAGGGCCAACATCTCCCGGGCACCACAGTCGAAGGTCAAGGGCGCCTGGGGCGCAGAGTCAGGGGCCCGCGAAACCCACGGCACGGCCCCAGGGCCACGGGCCCAAAACTCCTGGGATCTCGAGCGAGGGGGGCCCGCGACCCGCGGGCTCTTGAGCCACGCGCACCTGCGCAGCCGCATCTGGAAAGGTTCCGACGAGGGAGTTAGGTCCGCGCGCGCACAGCTCACCGATGGCCCCCTGGATGTCCCACTGAACACTCTGGAAGCCTCGACTCCGGCCCCCGCGGACACCTTCAGGCACGCCCGCGGCGAGGGCGCACACGCCCCGCGCATGCACGGGCGGGCAAACGGCAAGCTCGACGGATGCGGCAGGTTTCTGGTCGCGGGGCCCCGAGGCGCGCGCGAGCGCGCCCTGGCCAGGGAGGCGGCCCCCGAGCGCGTCGATCCCCGCCCGCCCGGCAAAGCTGCCCCTCGAAACCGTTCGGCGAACGGGCTTTCCACTCCAACTTCGGGAGACGCGCGCCAAACGCGCGCGATGGCGCGAGAGCACGCAGGGGGCCATTCGACCCGACGCGCGGGCAAAGAAAGGAAGTTGACGACAGCGACGACGACGACGACGACGACGACGACGACAACGACGACAACGACGACGACGGCGGAGACGACGGACGCGACTTTCAAGACGACGACAACCACGATCGCATCAGGGCACCCCGCCACCGCGCGCCACCTCCGCGCGGGCACCGCCGCTTGCGAGGCCACTCGCACCGCGCCCGGGTGCGGACGGGGCGCGCCATCTCCAGCCTTCAACGCGGAACGGGCGCAATAACGACGACTTCGAGGCACCGGGCCCGACCGCGCCGCCTCCGCGCAGGCGCCGGCGCGCGCGCGGAGGCGAGAGGGGGGGGGGGCGAGGAAGAGAACGCAAGTGCGCAAGAGGAACACTGTGCGCGATAGTCTGATTACACCAGGGTTTGCGCCGCGACACCAAGCCGCGCCGTCGCTCGAAACGCCGCGCGGCCCCCCACTGCACCGCTGACTTCGCGGGCCCGCCGCGCCCCGCGCAAACTCTGGCACGACCTTAGCCCGCGATCGATAAGTGCGCAACTTGCTTCAGAGACCCCGCTTGCTTCATAGCTCCAGCATGGCTTGCGCCGCAACGGGGCCCGCGCGAGTCGGGGCCCGACCACGCGCTGCGGCATCGCGAAGAGCACCCCATAACGCCAGCGGGAGAAGCGCGCAAGAACGACATCGAGCACAAAATGCTACAACCTGGAGCATGACTAAATCGACCAGAGTCTCGTTCGGGACCCTGGCGGGCTCGACTTATGGGCCAGCCCCCGAGACAAGGCAGCCTTCCAGGCCGACGGCCCCTTGACCGCAGAAAACGGTTCCACTCGCCAATGTCGAAGCCTCGGGCGTGGCAGCATATCCCACAGATGCTAGGACACTTGGCGAACACGCACATCACATATGATTGTAGGCAGCAGAGCCAGCAGACGCACGTAACACAGCGGGGAAAAAGCCCAAACGTCTCCTCGACCGCATTCAAGATGCCTGCGAACATCCCGAGATAAGCAGCAGGCACAGAAAACACAAATCGAGGCGGCTACGCGTCGACGCCGACCGACGCGGTAGCCTTAGAACGAGCACATGCACATGGGCAGCTCCTCCAAAACAACTGGGGCCTCAAAGAGCAACTCGCTCATACCAGCACACAAACAAGCATCAATGGCCAGGGGTCCACCAAGACTTCCATGTTTCTGCACGGAACCTCATCGTGGTCCTGGGGGCGTTGGCGATGCCTGCAAGGGCGTCGGAGAACTCAACCCAGACCTTCTCGTCCACCTTCAAATAGCGACGAACCGGGCTAGCACCACGAGGCAGAGAGGCCTGCAACCATGCGCGCATGCAACTTTGTCTGAACATGAGCCAGAGGCCAAGATTTAAAGCGCAAGTTTCCAACGGCGCAGGCCGACTCCTCAGTGCGTTCGCTGCGACGGGGGGTATCCAGCATATCCGTCCAACTTCGGGCATCTCCACGACTGCCAAAAGACACAATGTGCGAGAGAACGTCGGAGGCGAGGCCCGACAAACAATGCGACGCTGCCGAGCATCATGATGGGGCACATCCGCATGGGCTTCCGCAGCTCCGAGAGCCTGCCCGGGACTAGGAAGCAATTGGGCCAGCCAGGATTCCGAAAACTCTGCGCCAGCGCACTGCGGGTCGCCCACGAGGATCATAAACAAGGGCACAGGCACGAGAAACGGCGCGCAACTCCATAGCACATGACCAGGTAGGAAACTGCACCCCCACACCCCTAGACAACCATTCCTTCGAGTGCTCGGGCACGGCATCACGCAGATCTCTGGGCATCTTCGAGGGACCCCGGAAGAACTGATGGGCTGCAGCGGCCACGCAGGCAAGCCACTGGTCGTCGGGCCCCAAGGCCCCAGGGATCACGAAAGGTTTCACGTGCTGACATGGGCTCGGCACCAAGGCCTCCCCTGGCAGACATCAGCTCGAGCAAGCCAACGACCTCCAGGCAATCAACCGACAGGTCCAAATCCCCCTTGAGAAACCAAAGGATCGGCCGACCCCGAACGAACCTAGCCCCTCCACGAAGCCGACCAAAAACTCCAAAAGAAGGGATAAGGTATATCGCATATGTTGCAACAGCACGAACTTTCAATCGCAAAACAAAAAAGAACCAACATTCTCCACAACCGACTCCCACAGCGCCTCTGGCTTGAAGCGAAAACTTCCGGAAAAAAACAGACGCGGTTGAAAAGCCGCCGCGGCTCCGCAGGCGGCATCGGGGGCGGCCGCGGCGGCGCCCGCGGCAGGCGGGGGGGCGCAAACCCCACCTGCGGCAGGGGCGCGGCCTGCGTCGGCGGCGGCGGCTGCAGCCAGGCCATGCTCGCGGCGCTGTTCGTCCACCTCTGCCAGCTTCGCCTGCTGGAAGGCGATTGAGTCGAAGGCGGTGTTGTTGGCATCCGCCTCGCGCGTCGCCAGGCGTGCCACCCCCAGACTCTGCTCCCCCTCGGCGTGGTCCTTTTGCAGATCCTCCATCGTAGCCTTCGCATTGCTGTAGCGGTCCAGCCGCCACTGAACCTCTTGGTAGGCAAGGCGCTCCTGCTTGGTGGCAATCTCGACATTCTTAGCCAACTCCGTTTACTCCGTGGCGGCCATGCGATCCAACTCACCTTAACTGTAATCACGAACTTCGGGCACAAGGAGCGCAGCCGCATCACGTGCAACACCCGCAATTGCAAGATCATGAACGGACCAACATTCCAACGCCTGTAGGAGGTGAGGTGGCATAGGCACCGCAGCAGCACCAGGAGCACCTGCACCAAAATGAGCACGATCACCATCAGGTACAGCAGCAGCAGCATCGTCCGTGATGTAGGGACCACCGCACATGCTGCATGCAGGATGGCCATGACGTCTGAACTCCCAGTGCTTGCAGACAGAGCAAACCGCGTAGGAGTTGCCCTTCTTTTTGGGTGCCTTCTTGATCCCAGGCTGCCAGACCAAGGAACCTTTCCGCATCACCGCCACCGTTGCACCAGGGCGCCAGGCTGCGCCACGCCATGGCACGGGGCGCGCAGGAGCAGTGTACAGTGAATGGAGAGGAATGAGCTGCCAGGCCACCAAGGGCCTTGTCTGTTGCGAACTAGCAATATCTACATTGTCCTCAAGGGAACTTGGCATCTTGAGCCGACATGGCTACGGTTCGTGGCGCGAAACGTTGGAGGACGCTGACGCGGGAGAATCGGCGAAGAGTGGGCTGCCCGCAGGTGCCTCCCAAGTACGGCCGGATCTAGGACAAAAAAACACCCTTCAAGAACACGAACCCTACACCGGCCAGAACCCCCAAACAACTCAGATCCCTCGAGGGTACCCTGCCCCAAGATGCACAAGAGCATCCAACAAACACGAAGAACATGAGGGCACCCTCCCCGAACCGACCTCGATTCTGTACCTCGGTCCGGCCGCGCATCGTTTCTGGGCTGTCCGCAGGTACCTCCTAAGTGCCTTGCCTGGGCGGCCCGCGGGTACCTCCCGAGCATCTTTCCTCGTTAGCCCGCAAGGACGGCGAGGGGGCAGGATCAGTCAGCATCGAATCCAGAAATCTGATCAGATCCGAGTGCGCTTCGGATCGGGCTGCATCGGCACGGAGTCGAGATCGAATCGGGTCGGCCGCGACAGGATGCACAACAGCGCCATGCGAACATCAGGCCGCATCGGATCGGCCTGGCCGAGAACGACATCGAATGGGATCGGTTCTGTCGAAAAGGGACCCTGAGTGGTGGGACAGGGCAACCTCAGACGGCGGAGAGTGGGAGCGACGGTGGCTCTCCAAGCGTCACTGCACTCGAGGTGGAAAAGGGCACGGACACAGGCTCGAGAGACCACGAGTGGCAGATCAGGGAAGACGGACATCGAGTCAGATCGATCGGCCGCGACCCGGCCAAAGTCGATGTCGAGTCGGATCGATCGGGGATCGACAGTCGAGGGAGCGGAAGGAGGATGGCGACGACGCCCACCACGTCGCGGCGGCCTCGTGGGCTCTGTAGGCTTGGCACGGTGGTGGAACACGGAATCGTCCATCCTGCCGCGGGCAGGAGGACGGAAAGGTTCGACTTCTGGAGGCCCCGACCAGCTTCTGCGTGCTGTCTTGCCCCCCTTTTCGTAGAGCGCACGCCAACAAAGAGTACGGATCAGGGGATCGGTAAAAAAAACGACGAAACATGAGACCAAGGCGGCCTAATCTGGCAACAGATCGCGCCGAAGCCGCACGGAAACGGAACTCGTCGATAATCCTCCGGTGGACTCAATCCATGCTTGCATTCCCTCGACTTTCGGACCTCCGGAGGTACCCTCCAAGGGTCTCCCCCTGAATTCCCAAACTCCCTTCAAACCCTGAGGCGGCCTCTGGAGACCGCCGTTAGATCCCCATACGACATCATAGGGCCCCGCGAAGGCCACTTAGGAGGGTCACATGTTCGACGACACTTGATACATAGTTGGTGGATTGCCTCAAGCGTCTTCGAAGGTTTGCAGCGATTTCGAGGAGTCCCGAAAAACGTTTTGAGACTCCTGGCACGGAGCTCGCCATCCCTGGGGGGCTGCGATCTGCGACGCCGTCGCCACTTCCGAGGGCTGCCGGCGGGCCCTGCGGAGCGAGGCACCGCGGGGATCTGAGCGAGACCTCGCCGTCCCTGGGGGGCTGCAATCTGCGACGCTGTCGCCAGGGCCCCTTCGCCTCGGCCTTTTACTCGGCAATCCTCAGCCACGTGCCCTTCCCACACTTGTAGCATCTAGCCCCCCTTTACCTCGGGCTTCGCCGACCGCGCCAGCGTCGCCCCCTATCGCAGCCGCATCCCCGATTCAAGTCCCAGGCGTCGTCGCCTCCGCTTCGCCGCCAGTACTTTTTTCATCGAGACATCCCGTTGAGCCATCTGCCCCACCGCCGGGTGAGCTGTTCGAGACACCACCCTTTTGTCAGACCCCCTCAAAGTCCATTGCGCCACTGTTCTTTGATTCAGCTTCCAGCCCCTTGGTGCGGGGCCTAGACCTAGCTCTTGAGGTGCGGATGTTAATCGGACTCGTCTGGCGAGAGGTTGTGGGGTTTTCAAGCAGCACTGGTGCCAATCGCCACACGATTGTCCTGCGCGGGTCGCACTTATCTCGAAGGCTGCGGTTCGGAGCGACAGCGGTGACGCATGCGAGGATCCATTTGTCCCCAACTTCTCAGTCAAAGCATTCCGCTTCTCAGCTTGTGACAAACTGTCACTCGCATTCTTGGGTTCCCCTGGCTTCATCGCCATACTTAATTTAGCGAAAATGCCCCACCAGTAGATGCAGGGTACCACTTGCATACTTTCATGTAGGCGACCAGCCAACCTCCCTCATGCAGCACATGCAGTTTACCTAGGGTTACTACGAACTCTCACGCCAACGCAATTGTAACACCGCTTTTCGTCGAGCTCATGTACTGCATCCTTCTCCATCGGGCAATATTCATATGCATCGACTTGGTGTAATATTCTGCCGCGGTGAGTTCACCAGCAGTTCGATGCTGTCAACTTCTCACCTTGGGTCGGGTACTGCGCCATTCACGGCTTTCAGCTTGGAATTTGGCGTGTTGGGCGCTTTGCGGCTTCCGTTGCTTACCTGTGTCAAGTTCAATTCGCGCAATGTCGACCTGACATCATTAAAATTGCTCCGCGCTTGCAGTGCATTTGACCATGTCCGTTTGGTTGGTGTTCGTGTTACCTGGTACGTGAGGTTCGTCAAAAAGTCATTGGTTCCCAGCCTTTCTTCAGAAATCGGTTCCCACTCCGTAGGTCTCGCTTTGGATTGGCACATTGGGACCTCATGCATCTGTTTCCGATCCATTGAGCTCAGGAGTGCCGCATGTGTTTCACCAAGCATCTGCATTTAAGTGAAAGCGTGACCTTTGAACATACCCTGCTCACCTGCTTGCCCTTGCTCACTGATGTAGTTCACTGCTCCATCATGCTTGATCTGAAGGGTAGCTCTACTGGAATGGTACTCACCCTGCTGTTGTGCAGCACGAACAACTGACTTAGAAATTTACCGAAATTGTATTCCTACCACTCTTGGCGCGTAACCAGCATTCCTGCCATAGATCTCGTTATGACCTCGCTCCGCTACCGAGCAATGTTTCTAGATTGATTTGATGAGGATAGGGCACAGCTTTCCCAGCTACAACCGAAAGTACAGTAAAAGGTTCTGCGAGTGCCGCCCGACGACGGAATTACACTCTTGAGCCAAACGACTCATAATGCTCATTAACACAGGGGCTATAGCACGAACACCTGATCCTGCTCCGTTTCCTCCTCCTCCTCGTCCTCCTCCTCCTCCTATCGCCTCTCCTCTTCTCCTGCTCCTCCTCCTGCTCCTTCTCCTCCTCCTCCTCATCCTCCTCCTTCTCCACCTCCTCCTCCTCCTCCTCTTCCTCTCCTCCCCTTTCTCGTCCTCCTCTCTCCGATCTGCTTGCCCGCCAGGCTCCTCCTAGTGTGCAGCCGCTTGTCCTCGAAGGTGTAGAAATCGTAGACCTGCGTGCGGCGCGGGCGTGCCTCGGCCGGATCCCCCCCTTGAGGCGAAGGCAGGATGACGAAGTCGGGGATCTTTGAGATGCGGCGTTTCTGAAAGAAGTATCGGGCGCCACGGCCGTTCCACAGCGCTCCAGGACGCTCTGAGAATGATTTATCCCCGCGAGCCCCATCCGATGAGAACTGGCGGATCTGGAGTCTGTTCGGGCGTGGACAGACCCCCTCTGGCCAAGCACCCTCTTGTGGAAGCACCCTTGGGACCAACTCCTGCAGGCGCGGACCCGCAAACACGGCGGCTGCACCACCCTCTCGAGAAGCCGAGAAGAGGCACCTCGGGCGCATTCGCTAATCGACTTGGCAGGGTGGGGTAATACCGACCCCAAGATCTATCGGGCACCGCGGCCGTCGCAGAGCACTCCAGAACCCTCAGAGTGCGCTCCAGAAGGCTCTGGAGCAGTTTACCCTTATCGTAGCCCTGCGTGGCCTCCCCTGGCCAGAAGCTGGGCACGTGAGCGACAAGATCGGCGAACTCCGCTCCGACGATCGGCATCACCACATGCCGTGCGCCTCCCGCTGCACTTGGTTATGAATGATATGCGGCCGTGACGGCAGCGCGCCGTAAGCGGAGGCATCATCATCATCATCATCATCATCATCATCATCATCATCATCATCATCATCATCATCATCATCATCATCATCATCATCATCATCATCATCATCATCATCATCATCATCATCATCATCATCATCATCAGCATCAGCATCATCATCATCATCATCATCATCATCATCATCAGCATCATCAGCAGCAGCAGCACCATCATCATCATCATCATCATCATCAGCAGCAGCAGCAGCATCAGCATCATCATCATCATCATCAGCAGCAGCAGCATCGGCATCAGCATCATCATCATCATAATCAACATCATCAACAACAACGTCACCGCGGTCATCATCCTAATCCTCAGCCTCATCAGTATCATCATAAGCATCATAATCAGCAGCAGCACCAGCATATAAGAATCACCATACTCCTCAACAACAGCAGCAACAACAACAATCAAAACAACAACATCAACAACAACAACAGCAACAACAATTACTACAACAACAGCCAAACAATAACAACGACACCAACAACCACAACACACGCTTACATAATTACAACACCTACAACACTTAGCAGCAACAACAGCAACAGAGCAGTAGCAACATCAATAACAACAACCGCAGCAGCAACAACAACCATAACAACAAAAAACAACAGCATCAACAAATACAACAATAGCATCAACAGTAATATCAACAACTGCAACGATAACCAATATCTGCAATAACAACAGCAACAATAACACCAGCAACCACACCACCACCAACAACAACAACAACAGCAACAACAACAGCAACAATGATGTAAAGACTGCTCGCTCCTACCTGCTCGCGTACCATTCAACACGTATGTCCCAAACCCTCGATACCCGCCCTCTTCGTCTTCGATCGTACCCCCTTGAGGACATATCTTCATTAACTGCATGTTCCTCCACATCCCTGATCAGGGCAACTCACCTGGGCATCGTTTCTGGATGAGCTGGTGGGGTTACGCGGAGCGTCTAGACTAGGTAGCAGTGGTGCTAGGAATGGAAGGTGGATGAACGGCAACAGGAGGTTCCCAAGAGGCCACCAGAGGCCTCCCAGAGGTACCCAGGAGGCCTGACAGACATCCAACAGACCCACAAAAGGCGCCCAAGAGGCCACCAAATGGTTCTAAAAGGCGTGCGGGTTCTTGGGTCGGCGCTGTACCCACCTGGCGGCACCTCTAGCGACGCCCTTGGCCCGCGGAGCACGCCACGAGGGGGGGTCCAGCGCAGATCCAAGAAATCCGCGCGGACCTTCGAAAGAGTACGTTTATGCTGTTCTCTCTTCCTCGAAAGATGAGGCCTTCCAAGACACGAGGGGGCAAGAGGCCCTCGAGCCGAGCACGGGGGCGGCACGGGCCGAAGGCCACTCGAAAGTACAAAACCAGAGGGCGCTCGCAGGGCAACAGCAGCAGAACGAGCAGCAGCAGCAGTGGCACGAAGCGCGGAAGCTGGGGCGGGGAAGCAAAGACCGGCTCTATCATCACGCCGCGCTGGCTCTCCTCGGCGCTGGGCTCGCGGGACCTGGTCTGGAACCTGGCAGGCGCCCGCAGCAGGCAAGAGGATCAGGAGGGAATCGCTCCACTAAAAAGATAGCCTGAGCCTGATGATATACAATTTCACGCAACAGGAGAGAAGGGGGCCGGGCACGCCAGATCGTGGTCCAAGGCAACGTTTTCCCAAACATTCGTACTCAAGAGTGCACGTACCTGGCGTACCGGCTCAAGGCTGGCCTTACCCACCTAGCCCTGATACGGACTCTGTCCTGCGGGATGCTCTCCGCCATCGCCTGTGCAACGCGGGGTACGTTTCCGCTGTGCGGCCAGAGATATCACGTGCGGTTGCTCGCAGCCCAGTTCTGAATCGAGTACTCCCGGCAGAAGGTAGTGCAGTGCAGTGCAGGAGCATGAGGCAAAACTATGCATCAACCCCGACACTGGCCAGGCACCCCCTGGGCCGAGGCGTGTGCATCCTGGCCGAGCTGGGAGGACGCATACACAGATCCTGGACCCACGATGAGCCTGGGCAGGATCGGTGTACAGTGGAGGCTGGTCCACAAGAAGCCTTCCACAAGAAACCCACCCCTGAGACCCCAGGATGTCCATTGATTCTTGGTGTGGGGACGTCACGCTGTCCATAGAGAAAACATCGAAACCCAAGAAACCCAGGGCACCCTGGAGGCAAGCAGGGTGTTTCTTGGCATGGGCCCCCACAGTAGGCGTAGACCTGGCGTCCTCCGAAGGAAGGAAAGGAAAAAGGGTACCTGGTGCCGAAAATGAGGCACATGCACCCCCCGTAAGCCTATCTCCCCTGGCGCTGCCCCCGCAGAACGCAGAAGTACAGCAGGACATGGACGGGCACCAGCAGACACAAAAAGGGGCCCGACGTGAGCAAGCGGAAAACGGTGTCTTCTCGCGGCGAAGGCACGGGAACGCTCGACCCCATCCCCGGGAATCAGTCTTTCGCCCCGCGTAGCTTTGCCAGTGTCCCGGGGCCCGAAACGGGCCACTGGGCGCCAAGATCACGACCAGCCAGACAGACACATGACCGAAAGGACACGGGCAGGGCGTCCGGCGGGGGAGCGGCATGAGCAGGCGGGTGGATTGGCCGGCCAGGTTGGTGAACGACCGGGTCGAGCCGAGTCGGGTCACCAAACGTCGAGGCGAGGGGCGCGACTGCTCTTCGTCGCCGACGCGCCGCTTCGCTCCGCTGTGGCGGACAGACCGTCGAAGCGCAGAACAAGAAACACAGCATGGCATCCCGAAATCGAGACGGGAAGCATAAACATGTTCCCCGGAATCCTACGGCAGATTCGTGTCTTGCCGACCCCGGCGTTGGTTTCTGACACCGCGGGGATAGTTCAACCTCGAACGATCGGGCGGCGTTCAACCTCAAACGCCCGCGCTGGGGTCACCGCCAGCGGGCACGACGCAAACCTACCATACTCCGAACCGCCCTCAGCTGACTCCGATACGTTCGCAACAGCAGCCTTGAGAGGCGCTCTGCCTGGATCGCCCATGCTAAAACAGTCTCCTGGGTCAGCACAATCCTGGCGAGAAGCTCTGACCGACCGCACACTAACCCCTCAGCATCTCCAGACTGGAGCTCGTCAGCTTGAGTATCCTGGGAGACGAGACTCGGAGCCCGACGAACCACGAGACAGGCCAAGTCCTGTCCAGTAGCCTTCATCAAGGGCTGGACCCCCCAGCGAACGGCCTCCATCAAGGGCCTGACCCCCCGGCGAGTGGCCCTCCCCAGCGGGCGGCCCGGGCGGGCGGAGTCGGCCACTGAGCAGTAGTGGGAACGGGCAAGAGTGACCTGTTATGCAGGGATTGCTCATCGTCGCGTGCGATGCGACAGCAGCGGCCTGCGAGCTTGGGTCTGGCACCCCCCGCGCCCCACAATGGCCACACACCAGAGGCCAGCCTGGCGAAAGGTGGACCTCACGTTCTTGGCGTTCTGTCCATAAGCTGGGTCACCAACGGCAGATCAAAACATTCGGACACCCCTGGAACGTTTTCAGCAGGAAGACCCCCAGGAACGCGGAGCACGAGCAAGGGCACAAGGCACGGACAGGGCAACGTCCTCTCGCGGGCATGGCCGACGGAAGCGCGAGAGCGCAAGCAAGAGAGCGAGGCGGGCAGGGGGGACCGTTTGATCCTGCTCTTGATCATGGTCGCCAGGCCTCGGCGGCGCACGGCCAGGCTCGGCGGAGGACAAACCTCTCTCTAGCAAACCTCCCATTAGTGAAAACGGCCTTGGACCGAAACCGACGGACCTGGACCCGCAAAAACGACGGCCGCGACGCCCTCTCGCAAACCGAAAACGGCCAATTCCTTAATCGACGTGTCAGGGTAGGAGGTCGATCAACCACCGACAGGCTGGGGGCGGGGCAGGCGGAGCACACGCGCCCCGAAGATCAGCATGAGAGGCGAGCCGCTCGCATGGCCCTTTGCGTCAGTGCACCCTTGACGCGCTCAACCCGCCTGCGTGGGTCCGAACCAAGTACACATCGGGGGGTAATTAGATCGGCGACACCGCGTACCTGGCAACATTTGAGCGGTCGCCGAGCAAACGTCGCCAGGCGCGCGATAGTCTTCAGATGTCCACGCCAAGGCGCGGGCCACGATGGACCCTTCAAGCTCTCTGCAAGTACTGGGCTGCCAACACAGGATACAAGCCCGTTGCACACTAGCATGCACGGCGGACTCCCAAAAAGGACGAATGAATTCCTGAAGGCCCTGTACCCACTTGAATTCGCACACCTCTGCACCCCTTAAATATTTTTGAGGCCCCGGTTGGCCTACGGCAGGCGCCCGGGCAACTGAAAAAGAACGAGACCTGGACGCTGCCATCGTTTCCGTCCCCGCACGGTGCCGGCCGGGAAGTGCTGGTGGAAACATGTTTGCTGGCACCCCCCCGCGCGGTGCCCAACAAGACACCCGATTGTTTGCCGGCCCCATGTTTTTCAGTGTTGGCGGGAATCCACGATGACGGCCAGCTGGAGCTGGCAAAAGTATGTGTGCTGGTCCGACAGCTTTGGCGCCAGCGAAACGCCAGACGTACTGACACCGGCGAAATCTAGTGCCGAACTCCACCCAGCGGCGCGGTGAGCGGCATTCTACCTCGACGATGCTTGCGAGACTCATACGACGCCGTCGGCCCCGATACGTGCACACTTGCCCCCTGGCCTCGTCGTCCTGATCGCCACCGTTTCTGTCCACCCCACCGCCCCACAAGCCTTGCAAACCTGCGGCGTGCTTGACCAGCCGACCACAGAGAAAAACGCGGGGCGGAAGGAGCCCCTTCCCCCTCCCCCTCCCCCTCCTCGCTCCTGCTTATCCTCCTCCTCCTCGTCACCCTTCCTGGCCGCTTCACGCATCGAACTCCTCCCTCCCCTTGCTCCTCCCTAATTCCCCTCTGCCCTTTTTCGGGCTTGAACTGACACAGTTTTGGAACAGGGCCTCTTCGCATCAGCCAGGCGATGTCACCGCGGTCCTCAATATGCTGACGAGCTGGTACCCATCCTGTGGCTCCTGACATGATATTTGCAACAGCAAGCGAGCGCCAAATCTAACTGGACTGGACACGACCCAGTCCTCCTCGGGCCCGAAGATCGGTGTTGCGGCGGAAAGGGGGAGGCCTGGAACAGGGAGGTCCAGCGCGTCGTGGCCCGAGGCGGGTGCGCAGACGATGAGGGGGGCCAAGAGGCGCATCGAAACAAGATGGGGGGGTGGAATCGGGGAGACTCCCTCACACCAGCCACGATGTCCACCTCCCCGTGGTCCTCGCACCCCTCCCCGACGCCCCCGAAAGGAGCACCGCAAGGCACCCTGCACGAGGCCCCTGCGCCCCGACCGCGAGGCCACCAAAACGGGATAGGGGCGGCCGACGGGGGGGGGGAAGGCGCCGCACGGATTGCGGCGGCGCCGTGGCGCCCTGCGAGCAGAGGCTGGAAGACAGAGCCGTCAGCCTCCTCCTCCTCCTCCTCCTCCTCCTCCTCCTCCTCCGCCTCCTCCTCCTCCTCCTCCTCCGCCTCCTCTTCCTCCTCCTCCTCCTCCTCTTCCTCCTCTCCTTCTCCTCCTCCTCCTCCTCCTCCTCCGCCTCCTCTCCTCCGCCTCCTCTTCCTCCTCCTCCTCCTCTCCTCCTCCCTCCTCCTCCTCCTCCTTCTCCTCCTCCTCCTCCTCCTCCGCCTCCTCCTCCTACTCCTACTCCTCCTCCTCCCTTCTCCTCTCTCTCCTGCTCCTCCTCTCTCCTCCTCCTCCTCATCATCCCTCTCCTGACACCTGACACCTGATGGCTACATTGTACATACCCCCTCCTCCTACTCCTCCTCCTCTTCCTCCTCCTCATCCTCCTCCTCCTCCTCCTCCTCCTCCTCCTCCTCCCCTCCCCTCCTCCCTCCCCCTCTCCTCCTCTCCTCCTCCTCCTCCTCCTCCTCCCTCCTCCTCCTCCTCCTCCTCATCTCATCATCATCATCATCATCATCATCATCATCATCATCATCATCATCATCATCATCATCATCATCATCATCATATCATCATCATCATCATCATCATCATCATCATCATCATCATCATCATCACATCATCATCATCATCATCATCTCATCATCCTCGTCCTCCTCCTCCTCCTCCTCCTCCTCCTCCTCCTCCTCCTCCTCCTCCTCCCACCATTCACGTCATCACCACCATCAGTATCGCCATCGTCATCGCCATCGCCATCGTCGTCATCATGATCGTCACCACTGCCAGCCTCCTCGTGACCGGCGCCGTCGACCCCAGGTTCATCCACTACCAAATAGCCACACGCAGCGCGCGCGTGCGCGAGCGCGCACCCGCCCTCTCCGAGAGCTGGGCGCGAGGCCCAGGCCGTTGGCCGGCATCGACCTGCTCACGCGCTCCGCCTCCTGGGGAGCTCGCCGCTGAGGCGGCACGCCGCAGAGGCAGCGCGCGCGCCCGACCGAGAGGAGGGGGTCCCACGGGATGCAGGTAAAGCTGAAAAGTTGTATGAGCTGTGAATAAGGCAGGTTCGCGCAGTGACAACCTCGGCGTTGGTCTCTGAGACCGCCTCGATCTTTGAACCTTTCACGGTCGGCAGCTTTTTAATCGCCAGATCGTTCCGTATGGGTCGATTCTGGGCCACTGCAAGCGCTCAAGCGTCGGACTCGTCGTCATCGTCGTCGGCGTCGGCGTCGGCGTCGGCGTCGGCGACGTCGTCGTCGTGCGTCAGCGTCCTGCGTCGTGCGTCGTCGTTGTCGTCGTCGAGCGTCGTGCATCGTCGTCGTCGTCGTCGGCGGCGGCGGCGTCGTCGACATCGTCGTCGTCGACGTCGTCGTCGTCCGCGTCGCTTGCTGGCGGCGGCGACGTCCTCGTCGTCATTGTTGCCGGCGGGGGGGTCTGGACCCTCCCAGATTTTTTTTGCGGGGGGGCGGGGGCAAGTTCTGGACCCCACCGAATAATTCTCCCATGGGGGGGGGACGAACCCCCCCCCCCTTAGTTTTGGGAAGGCTGGGCAGGGGGGAGGTCGAAACCCCCCCCTGGCCAGCAGCGGCAGAAAGCGCTCTTTCAGACGTTTCGATATGGCCCCTCAGACGGCCCAAGACGGCCCCAAGATGGCCCAAGACGGCCCCAAGAGGGCCGAAAAACCGAAAGTGGCATGACAAGCAGAACTATAGACTACGCCTTAAACGTTCCCATGGCCGAACCATACTGGAAGCATGAGCGAATCGCTGAGAGATGGGACATGGGATGGAGGACTGCGCGATCGAAGGCTTCCCACCCCTCGACGTTCAGTCCACCTAACTTCAAAATGTTCCTGCGCTGGGTCGGCGTAAGTGGTCTTGCACGAAGTTCGTGCAAAAGAACGCTGGCTGGTAACAGTCCTCCCAGTCACGGGCTGCTGCTAGGGTCTCAGCAGAGTAGCTGGAGCGTACCTGGAGTCGATGTGACTTACAATACGCGTTTACGAGGTGGGCAACCGTTTGTCCACCAAACGCGTCTCCACGCAGGAGTAGGTGGGCACCTCTGATGCCCCTTAACCTCGTCATCGGCATTGCCATTGAAAGGCCAGGCCCACTTCTCCTGTCGGAACCATTGCAGCTTCCGCGTTATGACGCCGAGTCGTCGCGCCTGCACGTTGGCTGGGTCTTGGACTGGTTGCAGAGCAGCTACGCACACCATCAACCAAATTTGAGCAAATGAGGGCACACGCTAAGGCCCCAC